AGATGGAAAACTCTACAGACTGTCGGTTCACACCCCATCACAAGCCAGCAAAACATCCACGAAACAAAGAAAGGTCTGTCACAGCCAAAAAATACACTCCAGACACTCCGCTGGCACTATATCGTCACAAATAGATATATACATACCGTGTGAAGGGCCCTGGAAACAGTAAGTCTTGTCGTTCTTAGGATGTATAAGTTTTCCCATCATTTTAGCTGTCACTGTGAACACTCTCGTGTGGTCATCATTCAGACTCGGGCGCTTGCACACACTCGCATACACATTGACGTTTAAACTCCTGATGATTTGATGAAATTCCGATGAAACAGTCTGGCACATTCATCCTCTTGTATGGAGTTGTGTATAGCACCACACATACACACTACCGCCTGATGGGTAGTATTGGGTACGTGAAAGCCCAGCGAAACAATCAGTCACGGCCATGCTTTTTTTTGTGGAGTTGCATATAGGAACAAACGTACTGGGCAGGACCGGGGGGGGGGGGGGGGGGGGGAGAGAGAGAGAGAGAGAGAGAGAGAGAGAGAGAGAGAGAGAGAGAGAGAGAGAGAGAGAGAGAGAAGCTAAACGTACACATGTGTGCAGGGAGGGAGGGACGGAGGGCAGGAAGGGGGAAGAAGGCGGGGGGGGAAAGGGGGGGGAGGGAGAGGGAGAGAGAGAGAGAGAGAGATAGAGAGAGAGATGGTTCAGAACTCAGCGGCATGAAAAGGCTAGAAAGGAGACCACCATCGTTTTAGAGACTGAAAATTCAGAGTACGTTTATCAAGGGAGGGAGTTCCCTTGCTATGGAAAGGATTAAGGTCAGACGCTCTCTCTGCCGAGTCAAAAACTCCTTAGTCACCGACTCACCGAGGCTCACTTGGCGGAGGCCATAAAGATATGCGAACTTCACGTGTAACTAATCTTTTTTTTTTTTTTTTTTTTTTTATTATAAACAAGCCACACCTGCTGGAAATCGGGTCCAGCGTCCCTTAAATACATCTGTTCCCTCTTTCTTCACCTGTGACTGATCAACCTTTCTTGTAGAAGATTCTATCTTGGAACTAAGGAAGGGTATGATGTAACGGGATCTCATCTCAACACCCATCCATCATCGCTGTCCTTCACAGAAACAACTCTCCATGGGGCTGTCAGACATCCGCTAGTAAGTAGAGCAAAGCTACGACGAAAGAGCTTGTCCGACTACGCGAAAACGCAACGGCAACTAGCCACCGATCCGAAAGTGAATTGCCATCCGATCGCTCTAATAACGAACACTCGTGCATTCCCTACTAGTTCTACTGCTGCAGTGGCAAAACAGCAGCCCTGGACGGAGCTTTTAGTAGGGAGCTCGGAGCATATTCACACTAGGACTATTTCGACAAAGCTCCGGACGTGATTACAGTCAGATTCATCCACATCGCGCCCTAATTGCACTCAGATGCATTCTGGAAAATCGTAGTGAGAGTGTGCCCTCAGAGCAGCAGAGCAGAAACCGTCGCTATGAAAGGGATCCCGTCAGACTCCTTGCTACGGATCCCGTCAGCGTGCCTCATTTCAGGGACACATGGACCACTTGACGCTGAAAGTGACGGTGGTGTCTACCGTGTCTACGTCGATGAATCCTTGCCCGGCTGGGTTAGCTCCGTTGTCGACTCTCACCTCCATATTGACGTTGAGATTTCGGTTCAGGCCGCACACGCTCGAGATAAGTGGAGAGAACGGACCTGAGTGCTCGTAGTTGTCATCGTACACGCCCACCGTCTCTTTGGTGAACCTGCCTTGCCCGCCCTCTCCCATGAAGTAATAACTTACCCTGTGGACCGCCTTCACCTTGTCGTCAAGTCTCGTGTACCCGCGGAGCGTGACAGTCTCCAGCGAGTAAGTCCAGCCATCAGGATACCTCATCTTGAGGCTGATCTGGCAGTTCTTCCGTTTGCCCGCGTTGCCTGCGTCGGTCGTTGCGCTGAACTCGCTGAACTTCATGGTAAGTACTTGCCCGTCCTTGCTGATCTCCCCCACGGCGGTATTGGCTGGACATCCGGAGCCCATGTAGGTGAACGAGTCGATGGCGGATTCCGGCGGAGGCTCTGCTCTTGCCGTAACACCCAGAAGCACGATGATAGCCGCCGAGAGGAAGGCCGCCATCGTTTTTGCGGACGCTGCCATCGCTGTGCTAGTTGCCTTCTTAGTGCTCTTTCCTCTCCTTCGTCCCCCCTCGCCCTCCTTTTCCTCGGTTGCTTTGTGATGCTCGGCTGCGATTCACCGCTGGTCCTTGTTGTCCTCCTCCAGTTCCCAACCGTAGCAGGCAAGCCGTGTTCAAGTGAAACGGTGCTAGTGATGCGACCATGCACTGTGGATAACAACGTCAGATGCGTCCACCACGGGTACTATGGCCACTGAGACTACAGAACGAACTGACTGGCAAACCACCCTCAGGTATTTATTGCTTATGGATGTCTAATTTTATGCCCCTTGCGGACTTCGTTGTTTCTGTAGCGTTTGTACAATCAGCAGGTGAGCACCGTTTCCACGGTCTGGAGCGCCAGATGTCATCTACCCGGGGGTCGACTTGGGAACGGAGGGCATACTCACACGGGGACCTAAAGTCAGATATCCGAGGCGTTTGTACCATGTATTTGTGCCCTGGGGCTCGCCACACCAGTGACACCACTGCCGAAGACTGAAAAATTAGACTGCTGTCAGAATAAAGTCGACAGCCTGAAATAGGACAGCCTCCCTTCTACAGTTTTCCACCCTTGTAGAATGGACGCACTTGTGAATGCAAGATGGAAAAAGACGAACGCCCCTGAGGGTACAGCAAGCATTAGTCCATCCCGACCTCATGCCGACTCACCAAATTTTGAGGAGAAGTCTATACGGCAAGCATTAGTCCATCCCGACTTCACGCCGACTCACCAAATTTCGAGAAGTCTCACCAAATTTAGAGCAGTCTATACGGCAAGCATTAGTCCATCCTGACCTTACGCCCAATCACCAAATTTCGAGGATGCAGCCGAGGACATCTCCCTAGGTCTGTTTTTACCGGTTCAAGAACTTGGCGCTGTTTCTCTAACAGGTTCATGAACAGCTATGGCCCTTCTTTTTCAAAATGGCGTACGTGGGCCTCATTCGATACTTCAGCGTTACCACCCCTGGCCTCTTTTACATCAAAATGAATCAGGCGCTGTCATGCACCAGATTCATGATCCGGTAGGACCCTTGGAGCGACGCGTGGGCCTGTAGTACCCCAGATGCAAGTCATTGGGCCGGTAGTACCAAACGGCTAAACTTTGGGCGCCCAAAACCAAAAAGGTTTTGGTGTGGGCTCCTTCTACCGATTATCCCGCAAAGTTTCCATCAATCTCGGGTACTGAGTAGCCAACAAGAAGCAAGCACAAGCACAATGGGGATGCATAGAGTCTCAAAGAATCTGGAGCTAGTGGGGTTATCACTGGGAAAAGTTTGCCAAGGGGAATATTGTATGGGATGCGGATTTTGTAATGACTGGGATCCTGCCCCCCAAGACCTCCTTCAAAAAGGGCTGGGGTTATGTCGCCGTAGCTGCTAGAGCTGCAATCATGAATGTGATATGTAAATTAAGAAATGACAGGTTGTTTAAGGTTAAGCTCTATTCAGACATTTCAATCCTCCAAGAAATTCTAGACAACATTACGTCTATGATCTGCGCTGACTGGAGGAAGAGAAGAAACAGACGAACAAGGTATAAATGTTTTTTTGCGACTTGGGGAGGGGAAGGCAGACTAGTCAGTAGGAAAACGAATGGAGGTATCCCTCTTACTCCATGGCTGCTGGGGATCAGGCCCCTGTGTGTCTCGCGGGGGCTCAGAGATGGGGGTACTGCAGGTAGGGGACCCAACTTTAAATGGAGTCTGACAAGATTAGCAAGTGGAGATTAAAAATGTTGACAGCAAAGGGGCACAGTGGAAACAATGAAAGCAGGTAAGGCGAAGAGGCATATTGTTCGGTACTAGCCAGCTTTTTCAGACATATCGGGCGCCATTCTTATCAGGTGAAGAGGCATATTGTTCGGTATTTAGCTGCATCACAGAGAATTCACAAAGTTTATTGTACGGGACGCTGGGCCCGGTTCCCAGCATGTGCAGCTCCCCACAAATAGATTGGAGCCCTCAAATTACCGGGACTAACCTGCTGGTGCTCGAATCACCCCAGGAGCCAGGACCAGCTAGGTCCGATTTACGCATGTGCTCCTCCGTTTTCTATCGCGTGCGGCTGTACGTGACATCCGTCCGTCAGTCGTTGATCGTTTCCCGTATCGACTGCTAGTGTCCATTATCTTTGTTTTCGTGGAGGCAGCTGCCCATCGGAAAGTTGATTTTTTTTTAATGCGTTTGTTGGCCACTTTGCGTTGGCGAGAAGCTTCAATACTATGGTTCTTTTTTTGGGGGGGGGGGGGTTGAATCCTCGCACCTTGCTATTTTGTTTTTGTGGAAATTGAGAAAAACAGGATGTTCATGGAGAAACATGAGTTATCGTGTGCACTGACTGTTGAACGCGTCGTGGCAGACGGCGTCATAAAAGTAAGGTGTCCCGTTGCAAGCGTGACTGGGTGAATGTTACATGCTGCGCCTGCAACAGGCTGCACGGGCCAGTTTCAGGCCCGTGCTGTTTTCAGTCTGAAAGCCTGAAAACAAAGGCCTACAGGCCCCGTGTTGTTTTCAGCCTGAAAGCCTGAAAACAAGGGCCTACGGGCCCTGTGTCGTTTCAGGCTAAATCAGGGCCTTTCCGGCCCTCATCAGTTCAACCTGCCCTGAAACTCAGGCACCAGACCTGGGTTTTAGCTCAGGCCATTTTTAACGTATTTTCAAGACAACCTTTGTTTGAGCTTCAACCCCAGGGTCTGGCACGTTTTGGCATTGACAAGAGCAGGCTGAGCAGCCTCCTGGACGGGCCAGCACTATATAAGACTGCCCCCCCCTGAAGGCTGCAGGTAGTTGGGAGGTAGTTCCTAGGTACTTCCCAGGCACTTCACGTGCAGTTCAGGAGGCAGGAGGCCGTCAGTAGTCCTCAGGATTCGGCAGCAGCACTCTGGAGGAGCGCCGCAGGAGTAGTTGTAGCGTTAGCAGTAGTCTTCAGCACTGGGCTAGTAGCTTTAGTTGTAGTTTTCAGCGCTGGGAGCCATAGCTAGAGTAGTACTAGAGAGAGAAAGAGAGATTGGGCGGAGGCCAGGGATACTTACCTCCAGCGCCGTTGCTCCAGCTTCGTCTTCGAGGTATCTGCAGCACAGCGCCATCTTCACAGATTAGTACCTGGCATACGAGAGAGAGAGAGAGCTCTTCTTGTTCCCGTTCTCAGTCCACAATCTCCTCACCCTCTCGCTATCTAACTTCACTGCATCAGCAGACAACGAGAGAGAGAGAGAGAGAGACAGAGAGAGAGAGCTTGGTGACATTAGGATCCAGACTCGACATTGGACTTCAGACATTTTGAAGAGGGATTATTTGGGGCTTGTAACGAGACTTGGTGTTGACAACTTTCCCATCTCCCCCTTCCTCTTCTTCGTCTGATTCCCTCCTCTTCGTCTGTGTATGTCTGCACCTGGCGCTTCTTTTCTGTGTATAGCGCCAGGCCACTTCACACTTTGTGATGAGCATGATGTATGTTTGGTCTGCGTTGAAACATTGATTGGGCTAGGCTTTAGTATTCTAGCACTCTGTTTCGCTATCTTGTACTACGTGAAAGGGGTCAGTCTCGGTCAGCTCAGGACTTGTATCTAAAGTCTTCCCTGCGCTATACAGCACCATTTTTGTATGTATCGGAATGCACATTGCTTGTTGAGATTACACTTGCACTGCATTGTCCATTCAAGTCCTTTTTATCACATTGCGGATCCTCAGTTATTATGTACATCGCCCAACTGGGCATGTAACAGTTGGTATCGGAACACCGAACGTGAATCAGGACAACCTGATCTGACACGTGTGCGGGGACTAGGTAGCTGATTAGTCTTGATTGATGATTAGAGCGCACTAATTAGCCCCCAAACTCACGATTTTGACCTCACTTCCGAGAATCGAAATTTTTTTCTTTTCTGGGATTTTGTTTTCTCGCTATTTCTGTTGTGGGAAATCGCAATAGCGCAACATCTGAAATTTCCGTTTTCGTTTTTCTTCTGAAAATTCAAAATTTCGTTGTTGAAAATCCGAAAGATCTTTCTTTTCCAAAATTCCGATTTCCTTTTGCATTTCCCATTACTTGGAAGTTCGGAATATTTTTTTTTCCGAAATTCGTTTTTTTTAAAAACGGTACGGGAAATCCTCCGTGCAGTTATCATTTTCCAAACTGCGCGTACTCTCACCTGAGTAATTCCGAATATTTGCTGTTTTATTTTTTTTTTCGGAATTCTCATCGGTCAATCATTTGCAGTCTGAAAGTTTTCTCATTGAGAACTTCGCACTTCACGGGAGGTTGGGAGACCTACTGAACTTGCAAAACTTGGGATTTTTTTTTTTTTCTCGAATTTTTTTTGCAAAGTTCAAACTTTTCTTTTTTTATTAGTGGCTCCTTATCTGGGCGATTTTTCCCACCCACCCCTCCCACCTCCGCTGTTGCCCCCTCTGGTCTAACTCTTCTTCTTCATCAGAGTCCGGGTACCCCTACTGCGGCATTGGTTAGTGACACGTCAGCAACTGAGCAAGTGCCACGTCAGCATTGACACTTCAGCAGCCGACCAGTGCCACGTCAACAGGCCATGTCAGTAGACCACGTCAGCAGGCCATGTCAGCAGGACACAGCAGCCGAACAGTGCCACGTCAGCAGCAGGGAGTGCGACGACAGCAGTCCTCCGACCTGATCAATGCTCATGCGCTTACAGACAGCCGGCACGGATCAGAAGTCCGGGGAAACAGACGAGGCCTATCAGGCCCGAGCAGAGATCAGCATCAACCGAAAGTGGTCGTGGTCGCAGCGGCAACGCCAACCGACCAATCTAACAAGGCCATGCCTGCCAATGAAGGGGACAGACTCGCAGCCGCCCAGGATGGTGGCCGCTCTGGCAAAGGCCGAGGACGCGGCAAGACGAAGACAAACACCACGTTTATCCCAGGGTCTGGCGCAGCAGCGTCAGCCCCATGGACCCACTAAGGACAAATGGGGAAACATAGCACCGCCGGGAGTGGCTCGACGACACTCTCGACGCCTCCGAAACCGGTCTCTTCGCGAGTGATCGGCCTTCATTCCGAGGCACATGCGGAAGTCGATAGTCCTCCTCTTCTATATTCTTACGAGGACTATGCTGCCCATCTCGTTCCTACGCTGGGTTCTCATAATCAAGGACAAGACGTGTGTGCGGCATCTTCTCCGTCCGGCAGCGGTGACTTATCGTCTTCAAGTGGTCCTTCACAGGATTCGGCACACGAGTTCAACATAGAGGTATTGGACCCGCTCACGTTTGAGGATTTTGCATGGCTTCCTCTCCTGACCGCGGGCCGCTTGCCGGGACCGCAATGCGCAGCACTGTGCGTTCATCTTCACACGTACTTATTCTTCTATGCACCACCAACTTCGCCGACCGATGACGGAGTCGAGGTGGGGGACATCCTTGCGTATGATACCAAGGTGGCCCGCGAGTTTCGCAATCAGCGGTATGAAGACAACAACGCACCGCTCCTTTATGTCCCCATCCAAGTTGGGCAAGCGTCCTGCAGCGTTTTGCTGGATAGCAGAACGACTCGCAATTTTATGAGCCAAGCCTTTATGCAAAGGGCTGGCCTTGGCGCACATTTTGGAGGAAGGCAAACCCGACGACGATCAAGTTGGCGGACGGAAGGACGCAACAACTTATGGACCGTTACTTCCAGGCCGCACCGGTGTATTTCGCACCTCATGCATGCGAACCGGTGACGTTCGACATTTTGGACACGGACTTCGACATTATTTTGGGAATGCCTTGGCTGGCAAGCGCGGATCATACGGTCAACTTCCACCGGCGGACTCTTACCGTTCGGGACGCTTTCGGCGCAGAAGTACCGTGTACTATTCTTCTTCCGCATTCTTCGATCCGGTGCCAAGTGGTGACGGCCAAGTCAATTCTTCCCTGACGGCCTTGTCTTCGGACCCCCGTGTGGTGCGGTTGCTTGACGAGTTCACCGACATCTTCAGGTGTGGTGCCGGATCGGCCGATCTCTCACGAGATCATTCTTGAGGCCGGTGCCGTGACGCCGAAAGGCTGCATTTACCGCAACTATGACAACAGACCGACCGAATCCTTGGTACACTTTGCGTACTGATGCACGACAAGCCGTTATCTTAAGCTCCACGTCGCACCCGCAACCAGGTTCCACGTTCAGATCGTCAGCTTCGCCCTCGAGCCGGCTTGACTTCATAAGCAGGGGGGGGTGTTACATGATGTGCCTGCAACAGGCTGCACGGGCCATTTTCAGGCCCATTTTGTTTTCAACTTGAAAGCCGAAAACAAGGGCCTACATGACCCATGTTGTTTTCAGCCTGAAAACCTGAAAACAAGGGCCTACAGGCCCCGTGTCGTTTCAGTGTAAAAGCCTCAAAACAAGGGTCTACAGGCCCTGTGTCGTTTCAGGCTAAATCAGGGTCTTTCCGACCCTCAGTATTTTCAGCCTGAAACTGAAGGTCATTTTCAGGTCCTCATCAGTTCAACCTGCCCTGAAACTCAGGCACCAGACCAGGGTTTTAGGTCAGGCCATTTTTGGCCTATTTTCAAGACAACCTTTGTTTGAGCTTTAACCTCAGGGTCTGGCACATTTTGGCATTGGCAAGAGCAGCCTCCTGGACGGGCCAGCACTATATAAGACTGGCCCGCCCTGCAGGCTGCACGTAGTTGGGAGGCAGTTCCTAGGTACTTCCCAGACACTTCACGTGCAGTTCAGAAGGCAGGAGGCCGTCCGTAGTCTTCAGGATTCCGCAGCAGCACTCTGGAGGAGCGCTGCAGGAGTAGTTGACATTTGTAGCGTTAGCAGTTGTCTTCAGCGTCGTTGCTCTAGCTTCGTTAGTTGTGGTTTTCAACGCTGGGCGCCATAGCTAGAGTACTACTAGAGAGACAGAGAGAGATTGGGCGGAGGCCAGAGATACTTACCTGGAGCGCCGTTGCTCCAGCTTCGTCTTCAAGGTACCTGCAGGACAGCGCCATCTTCACAGGTTAGTACCTGGCATACGAGAGAGAGAGAGCTCTTCTTCTTCCTCTTCTCACCGTTCTCAGTCCACCATCTGCTTCTCACCCTCTCGCTATCTCACTTCACTGCATCAGCGGACTACGAGCAAGAGAGAGAGAGAGAGAGAGAGAGAGAGCTTGGTGGCATTTGGATCCAGACTCGACATTGGACTTCAGACATTTTGAAGAGCGATTTTTTGGGGCTTGTAACGAGACTTGTTCCCCCTTCCTCTTCTTCGTCTGATTCCCTCCTCTTCATCTGTGTATGTCTGGACATGACGCTTCTTTCCTGTGTATAGTGTCAGGCCCCTTCACACTTTGTGATGAGCATGATGTATGTTTGGTCTGCATTGAAACATTGATTGGGCTAGTCTTTAGTATTCTAGCACTCTATTTCGCTATCTTGTACTACGTGAAAGGGATCAGTCTCGGTCAGGTCAGGACTTGTATCTAAAGTCTTCCCTGCGCTATACGCCACCATTTTTGTATGTATCGGAATGAACATTGCTTGTTGAGATTACACTTGCACTGCATTGTCCGTTCAATCATTTTTATCACATTGCGGATCCTCGGTTATTATGTACAAAGCCCAATTGGGCATGTAACAGTGAATGTTGTCCAATTTTGAGAGCACGTACGTAGGCGCTGTCTGGCCTTAGTTCCGTTTACGGGACACATGCACCCTCCTTCATGCAGGCTCAACTACACAGTACTTGTGGGTTTTTCTAAATTAGCAAAGTCTGAATGTGGAAACATGTGGGAAAAACTGATGGTAAAGGAGTGGAGTCGGGTTCCTAGAGGAAGGAACTTTCGTGCGCCCTGCAAATACGGCCATGGGTGCACGCCAATTCCATGACGTCCTCCATACGTCGGGATTGCAGCCTTTGCAGGTGCCGCCCTCCAAGCAACGCAAAGACAGTTTCAGGGCTCACCTGTACAATGACGTGCTTTTCAAAACACGTGCATCCCCAACAGTCCCCAGAAACCTGTAGCAGAAATCAAGGATCTTGAGCTCCGAATCGACCACCAGTTGCGCAACGATCGAGAACCGGTTGTTCCGTCCGGAGCAATAGTCGTCGTCATCCTTCAATCGGGGTTTATCCACTTATACACCAGCAGTCAATACACCCGCGGCAATTTGGAAAACCCAACGCCTCAAACTGTTGCATTGGACGATGATGCACTTCAAACCCCCAAAGCCAACAACATTTGGATACGATGCATGAATGACCTCTTCCAATTTTGTGATGGTTTGCAACCCGCTTGTTTTGCCCATCCCATAACCAGAGCAACTGTGCCAGTGAGAGTCACCGTCGGCCCATCTATGGAGAGCGTACGCAAGTTTCTTTCCTGGAGGCAACGACAACCTGAATCTTCTCACCTCCTTCTCGAGAAGTGGACCAACCTTTCGCAACAGTTTATTGAATGTTGAGCGACGCATGTGCAGCAGCCCTATGTAATGATCATTCTCAGCGTAATCGTTATTCAGATTCTGAAGATCATTCCACAATCCAACTGTCCGCCAAATGACCTACCACCTAGGTGAACGCCTTGGTATAAGATTGTGGATTTCAACAATAGTTGGCCACAGCCAAAGTAAACTACGCCCTCCCCACCTGTGCTCGTCATTGTCTTCTCCTCCACCGCACACGGTGTGATAGCACTCATGCCCCAACATCAGTGCTCTCCTTGTTCGGGAACCCAGCAGAACATCCAAGGTTTGAAATGTATCCTCGGCCATCTTGCCGGTGTCGTACCAAATACCATTACAAGGGTATTTGGCGTGCTTTTCGCAAGTCACGCAAGTGCAGTGTCACCCGCCTGACAGCGTGCGCGTGGGCGAAAGCATAGGTTCTTGTCAGGATGAGAGGCGCGCGTGGCGAGCGCAGGGTGTTGACGGCGAGTCGCCACCATACGGGGCGTGGGCATGCGCAACGTCGCAGATCAGCGGAAGGCGCGACGTTATTCATACTATTAGTTTATTATTTTTGTCGTTGCCCGCCAACCACGATTTGACCACGGTGCGACGACCACCGTGGACCTCAAGGTCTCAGCGGAAGTGCCAGAGGGGAGAGTGAAACCAGCCAGGAAAGGCTGTACCTGGACAGGGGGTGGCATCGGGTACACACAACAACGAAGACCGAGATAGTAGGGTGACCAGCAGTGGTGTAGCAGCCTGGAGGGAAGGCAAGTGAAGAGAATGAATCGAGGCAGGTTTCCGCGCTGGATTCACTCGAAGGGAGAAGCAGCGGAGAGAGCATAGCAGGCGGTAGTACTGGGAAGGCAAGCGACAGACAGTAGGGTGGGCCGACTAGCACTGCGCAATAGTGGGCGGAGTGCAGAGAACGGAGTAGTGGCGCAGCGGGGGAACGAGTGTTCAGGGGCGGAGATAGCCTACAGATAAGAGGGGTGCAGTCGGTAGCGGAGGGAGAAGGAGAGCGATGAAGAGTACGCAGTGAGGCAACGGGGGAAACCGGGTTACCGGTAGCGAGTGGCAGCGAAGGAGAGGGGGTGAATCCGGACGCACTTTCGCGCCGGGTTCATTCGAAGAAGTGAGACCGCAGTAGTGGGAGCATGGCCATGGTGGACAAAGGAGACGTTATCTCGCTCGATTCTTGATGAATCCGGGCGAGAAAAGATTCTTAGCGGGGGTTTTGGGGGCCAGCGATCCCGAATATGCAGTTAGATAAGGGAGATAGGTAGTAAATCGTGGAGTTAGTAAAGAAGATAGTGCGCTGAGATGGCGGAAAGGAGGGAACAGTGGGAGGAGAACTCGAGATATCACTCGATTCCTGATGGGATCGAGCGGGGTGGAGGCCGGAGCAGAGCTTTTGAGGCGAGGCGGTTTCAATAGGAGAGTTAGTGTTAGCATAAGAAAGGTAGGAAGAGAGGTTAGTAGAGGATTAGGTGCGCCGGGGGATGGCGGGAATTGGCGATGACGGGAGTTGAAGATGAGGTGTTACGGTCGTTCCTCGGCCGATTGCGACAAGGGAGGGCTCTGCAGAGCGGTTATTGAGTGGAGCGACCGCGATGGGAGGCTCAGATCTGCGGCTCATGCCGTAGTCTGTCCGCGGTTATAAAGCATATAGTGCCCGTCAGTTACAACCCTTACAGATAAATTGTGTTGTCATATAAAAATTATTGTTATCAGTATATGTCATTTATCATGGGTTGTGCTGCATTTTGTATTTGTGTTTGGAGTATCCACCCATGGGACATGTGAACATCGTGCCTTGCCTTGATAATGGCAATCCTAAGGGGTTAGTGCCTGAGTTATGATTGGAGGGATTTATAAGGGGATGTTTATGTTCTATTTTTGATGGATATTTATCTAAAGACTCTCTTCGGTATTGTCATTGTTTTGGATAGATCCTTATGTGCGTTTTTATAATGAAGTGTCGAAATAACTTAGCGGGACATGTCTTATATTTGATTTAGCCACGTAGCTCCTCTCGAGTCTCGACCCCAACGCCGCTCGTTGTTGTTCAACAGGTGGTGGGGTCGAGGGAGCTCGAGATGGAGGGTTCTCAAGGAGAGATCGAGGCCGAGAAGCTCGCCTCTCTGTTGGAACGGCGAGATTGGGAGCGAGACAACCTGCCCAAGGTTGAGATCGACTTCTTCAAAGACGATCATGTTTCTGACTTCCTCGACAAGTTTGAAAAGATAGCGTCCCACTGCAAATGGAGTGAGGGACAGATGTTGGAAGAAGTGATAAAGTATATTTGTATGGGCCTGAAGGAGGAAGTCAGTGGGTTGGTTAGAAGAGCAGGGTCACCGTTGAGGAAGTTCTATTATAACATGTGGAATAAGTACCGGCTAGGTGAGGAATGACTAACCAAAGACGATCTTGAGAAGATAGATTGGTATAGTTATGTGTCAGTAGGACACTTCCTGGCAGAGAATCAGCGCGCATCGCGTGAGGTCTGGGCACTGTCAGAACATGACAAATGCTTTGTCTTCCTCATGAACTTCACGAATGCAGAACAGCAAGATTTGATCCGTGGAACAGAGGGGAGACTAGTATGGGATAAGATATGAGGGAACCTTGAACATGAGGAGTTTGACCAGTACCTCTGCCATACCCTACCAGGAGCGAGGAAAAGAAAGAAGGTGTTGGATAGTGAGAAGAGTGAGCTTGAAAAAGGGGTGAATGATCCTGCAGTAGGCACCTGTGATGCTAAGAAAGATGGATCTCAGAAGGATGCTGAGATCGTCAGGCGAAATCACAGGTGGGACAGAGAGAAGAAAAACGGGTCGGGAGGTGAGAGAAAAGAGATACCAGCTGAAGTAAGAGTTGTTGCAACCCATACCTTTGAGAGGACGCTTGACGCTCTAGACGAGAAGGGGATAGAGGAGCAAAGAGTTCAGGGAGAAGTTGGCATAACCCTGCCGCCCACTGGATATAAGTCGAACTGGACGAAGGAATAGAAGGGGATGAGAACAGTGGGCGAGGATAGTATGTGCTTGTTGTGGGAAGACTGGTCATACCCCTCACAGGTGTAAGGTCGCAAAGAAAGGAATTGAGGGGTGAGGTTGTGTGCCTAGATGAGAATGGTGTCAGCGATCTTAAGTGACTAACAAGTAGACACTCGAAAGACCATGACAGTGCGGTAGGTTCGATTGGTGGAATTAATGAGCGATTATTTGTTTATTTTGCCTTTACCAAACCTATGAGTTTTATGAGAAATAGGCCCCTTTTCGTATATATTTCTGATATCGAAGGTGCGTTTTTAAGAAATTATCGCCTGTACGCTAAACGCATACCCAATTGCGCGAGGACATTTAATAGTATTTCGCGTATGTGACCTGTGTGATACGCTATACAGGGTCTTTTGTTGACTGGGATATGAATTTTTGATAATTTGAGATTGTGGGGGTGTGAGACTTGGGATGACCTGATTTTCTTCTAGGAATTATTTCTCAATATGAGTTTTTATTCCCCCAGGTTGCAGGATCGTGCGTGTTTGGGTTGTCATTGGCATTCTCATCAAAGTGACCTTAAGAGTCTTTTTGGGTGTTTAACCTTAATTAATGGTAAAATGAAGAGAGCGTGATTATTTGTGGGATATGTTAGGAAGACTTAGAAAGTCCAAAAAATCATATTAAGAGAGAGGTTATGCCCGAGGGCGGCCTTACAAAAGTTAAGGGTTTATTGTCAAAGTGAAGAATGTTTTAAGATTTTATAAACGAATTCATCCATGAGTGGGAGGATGGCTGAGAGATTTTTATGGGTGATTCTCCTTCAGAGTGGGAGAAGTCTTAAAAATTATTATGGAAGGCTCACCCTTGAGAGGAAGGGGGTGGCTTAAATTTTTTTTTTATGGAGTTAGAGTATTATTTCTGGCCAAATCGGTATTTCCGCTTTGTTGGGCCTCAGCTGCCAGTAAGCGTATCATCTGCGGCACGGAAACCTGTCATGTAAGAAAGCCCTTACCCGGCCAGTGGTTGTGAGTCCCGGGTGGTTTTGTACGTGGCAGGGGGTAAGGAAAGGTCCGTTCAATTCGGCATCCCTGCTTGCGTAGTCACGTAAAAGCTGGTAAGGCTGGTTGTAAGTCCTTTATTCAGCTTGTTATGGGCCACAAGCGGTCTAGTCTGTGACGGGGACTTTCATGATTAAGACTCCTTGAGGGAAACTAAAGTTTTTGCTAATAGCCGGTGGGAGCGTCATCTATGGCAGGAAGGATCGGCCTGGTTATGAGGCCCTCCAATCGGCTATTAATTTGGTTGAAAGTAGCGTTGAGTTTTGTCTGAAAGCAGTCGTGAGAGTTGCTCACTGAGCAAAAATTGTGGATGAGATTAGCAAAGTGTGGAATAAAAGTGAAGGATCACACTCATAAAGGTAGGATTTATGGAAAAGACAGATGATTTCCTTTTATTTTGATAAACTAAGTGAATATCACCATCCATACCTTTGAGGAATCAGTAAAATGAGTGGCTTTTGAATGATAGTAGTGCCTTGTGGGGCTGAGCTTAACAGGGCTCTGCCCATAAGGTACATTTGTGGTATGTATGATGGGGCCAAGCACCCCAATCTTCTAGAATAGTTGAAAGATTGAGGTGTCTGATTAAATCCCACAATGAGGTGTTCTTCTAAAAGAGGGTTT